GCAAGCCAGGTAGTTGAAACATATCCACGAAACTTTCAAAACTTATGCACAAAGATTCTCACTCTAGCCAATCCTTATCCCGAAGTTACGGATCTATTTTGCCGACTTCCCTTTTCTACATTGTTCTATCAACTAGAGGCTGTTCACCTTGGAGAGCGGCTGCGGTTATGAATACTACCAGGCGTGAAAACTATTCCTTCCGTTGGATTTTCAAGGGCCGTTGAGAGCGCACCGGACCCAGCAGAGGCGCTGAGCTCTACCAAACACTATACCCTAGCTCCGGATAAACCGATTTCAGGGTGATTGGTTTGTTAAAAGAAAAGAGAACTCTTCCCAGGGCTCCCACCGACGTCTCCAACTTCATTTACGTTGCCGTGGAGAATCCACATCCTGGTTCCGGAATATTAACCGGATTCCCTTTCGATAGGTGACACGAAGAATCGTGTACTTTCAAACGGAGCTTCCCTATCTCTTAGGATCGACTAACCCATGTCCAACTGCTGTTCACATGGAACCTTTCCCCACTTCAGTCTTCAAAGTTCTCATTTGAATATTTGCTACTTCCACCAGGCGTAACTGGTAGAACTGCTCGTACAATGTGTCGTACGCATTGGCCGGCAGGAAGTACCGTTTCATATCCGCAATCAGCATATCCTTATCGGTTGGCGGAGTCGGAGCCTCGGCGATGCAATTGCGGTACCACTCGATGGCTCTACCGCGGAGAAATTGACCCATCACGCGATGGTGGTAGGATGGCGGAACGTTGTAGAAGAACAGGTATTCTGACATCAGATAACACCAGTTCTCGAACGTCGAGACGTCCGCCTCTCCGTTGTACAACGGTGGCTTCTCGATCCTCATCATGTGGAAGTTGAAAGGTGCCCCCATTGAGTTGGAAACCTCCATGGGGGAGAAGGGGGACATGGGAGCAAATGATGGGGGCGGAGCAGCAGAGGTTACGGGAGGCACGGGGGTTGAGGAGGCCATGGGAGCCGGGGTGGGAGCGGGAGCAGAGTTGGCCATGGGGACAGAGGGGTTCAGGGGCGTCGAGGGTTCCATTGCGGCGAGAGACGAAGGCAGAGGGCGCGAGAGAGAGACGAGGCGCAAGACAAGGACGAGGGGGATCCAAAGGCAGAACAGGCAGAGAACTCGCAACCAAGTGTAAGGTCGAGCTAGGAATGTTCTGTAAACAAGTGATGATTATTTGGGAGCTAACACTAAGGTTTATATAGGAGAAAACTAGGAAGCGGGCTTAGTCCGCTGACTAAGCGTGACGTGATTATGCAGTCACATAGTCCGTGATCGGGCGACTGCAGAGTCGCTTCAATAACTTCATTCGTTTTGTAGCGACCACAATTGCATTCCGAAGTTTTGCGATTACTTAAGTCGCATTCCTACTGCCGTTAGTTGAGTTCGCCTATAACGACTCTGTCCATTCATCCATTGGAGTGACCCCGTTCAAGCCAATTATGGCTTCTCACCCACTGGCATTGCTCGAACTGCGGTTAGTGACGAACCAGTTGTCGAGGAATACCTCGCCAACCTGAGCGACACTATCCACAAAGCCCGAGACGCAATGCAGCGGGCGCAGGAAGGACAGGAAAGACAGGCCAACAGACGAAGAAGAGAGCCAGACGAAGAACTGGCAGAGGGGCGGTACGCGCTTGTCAAGCGCCAGAGGAGGGAAGGAGACAAGCTGGGCCGACTGTGGGACGGCCCTTCAAAATTCTGGAGCGACGAGGCAACACAGCGAAGCTCCTTTTGCCGGCCTCGTCGAAAGCGCATCCTGTGTTCAATGTTAGCAGACTGAAACGTTTAATGGGACGCCGCCGCCATTCGCAATCCTCGATTCTGAGGAAGCGACGTCCGCTGACTACGACGTGGAAGAACTGCTCTCCCACGCCAACCACCATGGAAAGTGGTCTTACCTGGTTCGGTGGGTCGGATACACCGAAGCTGATGACTCCTGGGAACCCGCCGAATTCATTGATTCCGACACAATTCGGCGGTACTGGAGGAAGGTGCGTGCTCTGGGAGGTGAAATTCCTCCAGACATGGGCTTGAATGGTGGTGAGGTGGTGTAAGCATTAAGGTTCATTTACGCGAAAGCCTAAATCTGGGCGATCACCACCAAGCCCAAGGCCGCCCAAACGAACTGCAACGAGCTGCAGTAAGGCCTTCAGAACTCCCGGGACACGCGCGCGTTAATTCATTAACGCGCGCCGCGACGCGACGCGTTTGTTTACATTTACGCGTCGCGTCAAATTGTCTTAAATAGCTAGATTTCATAGAGAATAAACTAATCTTATTCTGACCTACGGACTGAGTCTTACAGAGGAGGACGACGAGTCCTCAGAAGACGAGTCTGACTTCGCAGAGGGCGAAGAAAGCGAAGAAGACTTCGAAGACGCGGACAGCGACTTCGAGCAGGACAGCTCGTCCGACGAGCAAGAGTCCTCAGACAACAACGAGGACTCAGAAAACAATTTCGAAGACGCAGGAGGCGAATTCGAACCGGAAGATGCGTCAGCGGACGCACAGGACAGCTCCGAGGATTCTTGTTCCGATGCAGACGATGAGGCCTTCGTCGATGCATCATCAGACTTACCAGTTATTTGTCGCCAGCTGACAATAGTCCCTCCGGCAGTGTGTTCACCGCCGCAGGTCAACTGCCAGCTGGTCGGCCACAAAGGCCAAGCTCTGCTGGATTCCGGCTGCGCGACTTACGTCGTGTCACGCAGCTTTGTCAAAAGACACGGGCTGCCGGTCACCAAAACCAAGGCAGTACCCGTGGCACTCGCAATGGAAACGGAGCAGGAGTTGCTGCTCGATGAACAGACCCCTCCGCTCGCATTGCGAGTCGGCGACGTAGAACAAACAATGCTTCTACGTCGTAAGCCAAGACTCGGGCCCCGACCTCATCCTGGGCATCCCCTTCTGGAATGAGTTTTCCGTCCAGCTAGGGGACGGCAGGGCCCGAATTGGGAATAGCTGGGTGCCAACGGTGACACCCAGCGAAGCAGAAGTGCGGGCTGCGCCAGTGAGAATCCAGTGCCTGTCGAAAAGAGCTACGACAAGGCAACTGGCGCAGCCAGAAGACGTGGAAGAGGTGTTCCTCCTGTCGATCAAAGTCGCCGACGACAAGGAGAAACACCTGGAAGACCTAGCGGACGGGAATCCGAACCTGTTAGCAACATTAAAAAGAATAAGGACGTCTTACCTTTAAAATTACCAGACGTCCCGAAGGAGTTCGTGTAACACATTAAGCTTATTACTAAGCGAATGTGCGTCACCCTTACTCCCCAGAGGAAGCAACACCAAGAACGCTGCCAACGGACGGCGTTTACGGAAGCCTACGGCCCCCACGTTAAGCTGCGCGTTAATGAAAACGCGCAACACGTAAACGTAAACCCTGTGACGGGTTTTTACAAAACAGTATAAATAGTTAGAATAAATAATATTCATTAAGCTTTTTCCTAAATACAATCGTAGCTATTACACTTGGTTGCGAGGCTTTAACAAATCGTTAAAAGCCTAAGGAACAGTCGGTGCCATTAGGAGGCGGAAATCCTAAAGAAAAAATTTTTTAATAAAATTTTATTACTTCGTCCTAAGAAAAGATGTCGGAACCAATGGCCCAGGACACAAACAACGAACAGCAGCCAATCTCTGCTGCCAGCACTCGCCCTACGAGAGTGTTTGGAGTCCCGTCGGCAGCATCAATTCCTGTCGCCCCAGCTCCCGCACCGGTGCAATACGTTTCAGCACCACGGGAGGATTGGACGTGGGCTCCCAAGCCTTTCTTGTACGACGGCACGCCGGATCTGCTTGTTCTGCAGAACTGGATTCGCGCCGTTGAGCGATTCTTGCGAACCCGCGACATCGCTACCAAGAAGCAGGCTTGGACAGCCTACAATTTTTGACAGGCGCCGCGCTAGACCGCTGCGACGTGGACCCGCGATTGCACCCAGGACTCGAGGAAGGCTCGCTCTCGTGGCTCGAGCTCAAGACCTACTTGAAGCGCTCATTTACCCCAGGCGACGCCTTGAAGCGATATCGGCTTCAATTCTATGAGTGCCGACAGAAAGGGTCGGCGCTCGACTTCATCACGGAGCTGGACCGATTCCGTACGGTCCTCAAGTTGGACGAGTGGTTGGTCCTCGACCAACTGGAGCGCGGAGCGAAGCCCAATGTCGCCCGCGAACTTCGCATGAGAAGGCCTGCGAACCTGGACGAGGCAATCCACGTTGCGCTCTCGGTCCAAGAGGACGGCAGCCAAAGCTCCCCTCCTTGGATTCCACCCGCTGTGCCCACCCGGCTTCCATCTGCAACGGATTCCGTCGATCCAATGCAGTTGGATGCCCTTCGGGCTTCACACTTATCTGACGCAGAGCTTGGACGCCTGTTGCGCGCTGGCAAATGTTTTCATTGCCAGAATACCGGACACAGGGCGGCAGAATGCCCCATGAAAAAGTCCAAGAAGAAGTCCAAACTCGGTGTGAAGGCGGTGGTCCCTTCAGGAGAGCCTGCAAAATCGGATATCTCTCCCAGTCAGATAGCTTTGATAGTTAGTGAAGTAATGAAGCAATTACAACACTATCCTGAAAGCGAGGGAGAGGAGAGCGGGCCAGAGGAGGCAAGAGACACGGACAATGAGGACCAGGACGAGGAGGAAAACGAAGACAACACAGGAATACTAGTGATGTCGGTGCCGGAGCCAGGCGGAAAGGCTCAAATTGGTGACCTCGACGACACAGAGGTCGGAAACAGAACGGAAGAACTCAGCGAAGAGGACTTCCAAGATGCGTTGGACATTCCACTGCCTGTGGTCTGTCGTCAACTAACAGTGGTCCCCCGGCGGTTTTAAAACCACCGGAGGTCTACTGCCAGCTGAACAAGACCCCAGCCTGTGCATTGCTAGACACAGGCTGCGCGACATATCTCATGTCGCGGCAGTTCACGCAGCAGAATCAGATCCCCTTGCTACCGACAAAGCCCGTGCCGGTAGCACTAGCAATGGAAACGCAAGAGGAGCTGCCCTGAGAGAGCAGACGGTCCCTCTTACGTTGAAGGTCGGAGACGTTGAGGCAACAGTGTGCTTCTACGTCGCCGACCAGGCCCCAGGACAGGATGTCATCCTGGGGATCCCGTTCTGGAACGAATTCAAGGTCGAATTGACCGAGAACTCGGCCAGAATCGGGGGCTCTGAGGTGCCCTTGATCACCTCGAGCCAAGCAGAAGCAATGGCCGCGCCAGTGAAGATCCTGAGCCTGTCGAAACGCAAGATGACAAGGCAACTGGCGCGCCCGGAAGAAGTGGAAGTGGCCCTCCTGCTGTTAATCACCCCAAGAGGAATCACAGAGGAGGGCGAGGTGGACCTAAAAGCGTTAGCAGACGGAAATCAAGATCTATTGCAAACGTTAGTAAGGAACAAGGACCGGTTACCGAAGGAACTTCCCGATGTCCCTTCGGAATACAACTTACCTTACCTGGATATCGTGGAGAAACCAGGTTCGGAGCCAGTCCACAGGCAGCAATACCGATTATCGCTGCCTGAAAAGGAAGAACTGGAACGCCAAGTCGCCGACCTTCTGGCCAAAGGACGAATTGAACCGTCAAGTTCGCCCTATGGCGCTCCAGTTCTGTTCGTTCGTAAAAAGGACGGCAGTCTACGCATGTGCATAGACTACCGCGGGTTGAACGAACAGACAATCAAGAACAGGTATCCCCTGCCCTTGATTGACGAGCTGCTAGACCGCGTGTACCGCGCACGGTGCTTTAGCAAGCTCGATTTGGCCTCGGGATATCACCAAATCCAGGTGAATCCCAAAGACCGACCGAAGACGGCATTCAGCGCCGACTGGGGACACTACCAGTGGAAGGTGATGCCTTTCGGCCTCACCAACGGCCCAGCAGTGTTCCAGTCAACAATGAATGACCTCTTTCGTGACATGTTGAACAAGAGTGTTGTCGTCTATATGGACGACATCCTCGTGTTCTCAGACACGAAAGAGGAACACTTGAAACACTTAGAAGCAGTGTTCAAGCGTCTTCGGGAC